CTTCCAGATGTCCCACTCCTCCAGCAGCTGCGCCACGAGCTTCTGCTCCTCGCCCGGCGGGAGGCGCGACAGGCAGTCGTCCAGCAGCGCGAAGGTGGGCCCGTGGTACATGCAGCGGGCCAGGCAGAGGCGCTGCTGCTCCGGGGCGCTGAGGGCCTCCTCCCAGCGCGCGGTGGCGAACCACCCGTCCCGCTCGCGCAGCAGAACGTGCTCGAGCCCCACCGCCCGCAGGCAGCGCCGCATGCGCGCCAGCTCGGGCACCTGCCCGCTGGGCGCGGGCGGCGGGGCCGGCACCGACGGGGTCGGGGGGGCCAGGCCCGCGTCGGCCTGCCAGCAGGTCGACAGGCCGCACCCGTCGCCACCGCCGATCTCGCACTCCAGCTCGTGGTCGCCGATGACCCGGTCATGGGGCCGCGCGACGGCCCGGAGCACCTCGCTGAGCGTGCGGAACGTGACCACGCCCACCGGCGCTCCGGCGCACTCCCCAGCGTCCAGGACGCGGCTGCCGCTCGCGCCGAGAGACTGGAAGTGCTCCAGCAGCAGGGCGTCCGTGATGCCAGGCGGCAGCGCCCTCACGTGGACTTCGAACGGCGGCCGCGACGGCAGCCCAAGCACGCAGGGATAGGCCAGCTGCGCCACCAGCCGCCCCGCTGCGGGCAGGTAACAGCACTGCGGCACGGCCGCCAGGGACTGTGGCAGCGGCCTGAGACGGGGTGCCGCCAGCATCGTGGGTGCGGGCGCAGGCGCGCCCCTGGTGCCAGGGGACGCCTGCCAGAGCCCCAGCAGCGCGCGCCCGAGCAGCGACTTGCCGCTGCCGCTCGGACCCGTGACGACCAGCGGGGCGCCCGCCTCGAGGTCGAACCGCAAGCCCCTGGCGAGCTCCGCGCCGCCAGGCGCCGTGAGGCTCAGCCCACGCACGCGCAGGGAGGGGCCGGGCTGCGCCGCGGCGGCCCCGCTGCCCGCCGGGCTCGCGGCCCGCGCGCCGCGCCCGCTGCTCGCGTCGCACGCCAGCGCCAGCTCCAGCACGCGCAGGCACTGCGCGTCCAGCCGCCGCAGGCGCTCGGCCCACCGGGCGAGGTGCTGGGCGCCGACCTGCAGGCTCTGCACCAGCCGGTCGAGCAGGAAGCCGGCACAGAGAGAGTCCACGGATGGCGCCGAGGCGCCCGCCGCGCCCCACAGAAGCCCGCGCACCAGCGCCTGCCGCGACACCGCGGGAAGCTGGCCGTGGTCGAGCACGAACCTCGCAGCGGCCCTGGGGGCCAGCTCTCGCCAGCTCGCCGCGCACGCGCTCTCCAGGAGGTCGTCCAAGGCGGTCTCTGCCAGGTGGCACTCCACCACGCCGCCTCTCGAGAAGGCGATCGACTCCGCAGAGCCCCACACGCGCGAGTGGATCGCCGCGAAGCGGCTCTCCAGCGCGGCCTCTGCATCCTGTGAAGGCTCTTGGTCGGGGAGGAGCCGCCGGAGGAGCCCAGATAGGAGGGAGTGCCCAGCAACCAGCAGCAGAGGCGCACCGCCAAGGCCACGGACGGCCACTGGCATCGACAGGGCCGCGACCGAGAGCGGGATCAGGGCCTCGCACGCCTGCGCGCCCAATGACTCGAAGAGGGCGCGCGCCTCTGCGACCCGCACTGCGGGGTCGTCCAGCACCACGGAGGCGCCTCCTGGGCGCGGGGCTCCCAGCAGCAGCGCGGCCGCGTCGCGCATCAGCCTCCTCTGCAGGTGGCTGGCCGCTCCGGCCCAGAGCTCGGAGCTCAGCAGGCAGGCCTGCCGCCGGGCGAGCTGGTCTGCGAGCCCCCCGGCGCAGGCCACCAGGGACCCGCACAGCAGCTCGGCGGCGGCCGCGGCCCGCTGCCGCACCAGCGCGGCCCGCACGATGCCGCCGAGGCTCCTGCTGAACAGCCAGTGCGCCAGCGCCCGCGCGAGCAGCAGGGCGGCCGCTGCGCACGCACGCCGCAGCGCCGACCTCCTCCTCGACGGCGTCTGCAGCCCAAGCCGCATCACGGCGCGGAGCCTGGCGAACCGGCTGGGCCACCGCGCGCGCACCTCCGCCTGGTGCGAGGCCACGCTGGCGCACCGGGGCCCGCTGCCTGGCGCGGGGGGCTCCGCGGCGCCCGCCGCCAGCGGGGGGCAGCCGGCGGCTCTGGAGTCCAGGTGCTCCTGCAGCCTCGCGTGCAGCTGGCCAGGCGACCTGCAGCGCGGTTTTGGCTGCGAGGCCGCTGGGAGGGCGCGCGCTGGCCGGAGGGGCCTCCAGCCCTGCGAGTCCCGCTCGAGGTCGCCCGTCAGCTCCAGCAGGTTCGCGTGGAGGTCCTCCAGCAGCGGCCGCCGAGAGAGTGTCACGCACGTGATGCCGGCCTCCTGGACCAGCTGCACGAGGTGGCGCTCCGCAGCCCTGCTCAGCGCGCTGGTGCACTCGTCGAGCACGGCGAAGCGGGGACACTCGCGCAGCAGACGCGCAAAGGCCAGCGCCTGCTGCTCCGCGCGCGAGAGCAGCGCGGCCCAGTCGACCTGCCCGACGGGCCCGTGCACGCAGCTCTCCTCGATGTCCACAAGATGCTCCAAGCCCACATACCGCAGCCACCGCTGCAGCTCGTGCCGGGGGACGGCGCCGGCACGCGCCCGCGACGGATAGGTCAGCTGGTCGGACAGGGAGCCCGCCGTGCAGACCGGATCCTGCGGCAGCACGCACACCTCGGCTGGCATGGGCACGCCCTCCAGGGCCAGCTGCAGGCCAGTGACGCGCCCCGCCTGCGCGGGCCACAGGCCGAAGAGGTAGCGCGCCAGCGCGGTCTTGCCGGCGCCCTGTGGCCCGCAGACCAGCAGATGCTGCCCCTCGGCCACACTGAAGGAGAGCCTCCGCAGCAGCAGCTCGCCGTGCCTCCGAGGGTTCGCGATGGCCACGTCCTCGAACACGAGCGTCGTCGCGTCGGCCTCCTGCGGGCTCCACTCCTGCCTCTGTTGCTGGCGCCGGTCCTTCTCCTTGCTGCCCCTGGTCCGCCTGGAGTGGCCCGCCGCGCCAGAGGCCTGGAGCCTCTCCAGGCGCGCGCACAGCTGCTTGACCCGGTGCGCGGCGTGGCCGTAGGCGAGCAGCTGCGTCCGCACGCCCAGGAAGGCCCCCCAACCGGCACAGAGGTTGAAGAAGCCGTGCACGTCGCGCATCGCCACCCCAAGCCGCAGCGCGTGGTCCGGGGCCCCCAGCCCCCCGTCGTGCGGCGCAGCGGCGGCGCCGCCTGCGCAGGCGGCGCAGAAGAAGGCGGCGAGCTCCAGGACGGATGCGGCCTGCGGCCAGCCGAAGAGCGTCCACTCGGCGGCCTCGACCCGCAGCATGACGTCGCGCCGCTGCCTCGCGGCCGCGGCCACATCGCGCACCGCGCGCCCCAGCATGTCCAGCTCGAAGGCCTCGCCCTGCAGCATGCAGATGCTGCCCGCGTGCTGCTGCACTCGCGCGAGCAGCTGCCTCAGCTTGCCCTCCGCGTGCTCAAGCGCGGCGTGCGCCCTCGCGCCCGCTGCGGGCTCCATCCTGCGGACTGCCTTCGCCGCCAACAGGAAGCAGCACGGCGCCGCCAGCGCCTGCGTCCAGTGCTGCTGTGTGAGCGCCACGGCCCCGAAGATCGCGGTCTTCACCAGCGCCTCGGTCAGAGACGTGCAGATGCCGACCGCAGCGCCCACCATGTCGCGGCCGTCCCTGCAGATACGGAGGTGGGCATCCACGACAGAGAGCTCCCTGGACTTGTGCTGTATCTTGTAGAACGACATCCTGGCGAAATACAAGTCGTGCAGCTTCCGCGTGACGTTGCGACGCCAGTTCAGCGCGAGCCGCGCCTGCACATACCTGGAAGAACCAATCAACGTGTCAAAACATAGATCTATATATATATATATACATATATATATACATATGTATGTGTGTATCGCCATGGATCCCCTCCTGGTTCGAAATTCACTTCTTCACAATTCCCACAATAGTATGGGCATCGACAGCAATCAATATCCATACACTATAGGAGTCAACTCCTGGGAGTCCGAAAGCCCGATTACAGGGGCATGACGCCGCATCAGGCCAGAGTAAACCCAAGATGAAGCCCGATCAAGCGCGATCGAGCGGAAGTCAACGAGATCATGCCAGATTAGGCCCGGTGTTCGACCATGGATCATTGCACCAGCCTTGCAGACGCGCTGCAGCGGATTTCTGCGTGGATTTCTGCCTGGACTTCTGCCCGAAACGGCGCGTGAAAAACGATTTGAATTTCGCATGGAATTTTCTGGTCTTTTTTTCCTGGCCAAACACAAATCGCACGAAATTCACCTCGAAATCCGGAACGAAATTCTCCCATCACTCCGGGCCCACCCGATCGCTCTCCGAACGAAAGCCGCTCTGCGATGCTGGCGCGATGGCATGGGTATACCAGCGCTGACGCTGAGTTTACCTCCCGCCGAGTTTCAGCCGAGTCTTCACGCTTCCTGCACGCCGAGTCAACCGACGCTGAGTCCCACCAGCCCTCTGGGCGTCGGTGGTTTAAGGAGTTTCCTCTTCCACCCCTCCTTCTTCCCCTTCGGGGAGGGGTTTACCCCTCCCCCTACCCCCTCCCCGCTGACCTGGACAGGGGGTTCCGCGGCGCGTTGGAGAATTTACCTCCCGCCGAGTGTCAGCCGAGTCTCCACGTCCCCTGCACGGCGCCCAGCTGCCGAGCCCGACCCTTGCCCGAGGGCTGTCTTTTGTTCGCCCCCAAGGCCGGCGAGGGTCCCCGGAGCTCGACGTCGAAAAAACAGTGAAGGGGCCCTGGCACACACAGAGAAATACGCACAAATAAACAGATTCCCTGTATTTTCTTGTATTTTCTGGGTTTCTGTCTTCCCCCCCACTTCCCATATTTTCCCATACTTTCTCGGGATTCGACGATTAATTGTGTCTGTGTGTTTCTTTCCCTCCTGAAACAAAACCTCCCGCCATGATTTTCTGTCGCGACGGATGCCCCTCCGATTATGTTGCACATCCCAGAAATGATTTCGAGTGCCCGGAGAAGTGTCAAAACAGTGTCGAAACAGTGTCGGACGAGTGTCTCCCAGGGCACGACACGTGAAAGCCATTGAGTTTCGGTACTTTTTGGGAGGCTCGAAATGATTTCTCGCGGTCAGGGCTAAAGTAGGTTGGAACATCATAACCCTCCGAGTGAGTACCCCGCGGCGTCGGCCAGCAGAGAGTGCAGCGCAGCCAGCAGCGAGAACTGCCAGGCGCACCAGCGCCACCTCGCCGACAGCTCGCGCGAACCGCCCTGGCTCGCGAAGAGGCCGCCAAGCACCGCGGCCTTTCTGCTCATCACCAGCGCGTCCGCCACGCACACCGCAGCGATGCCGGCCAGCTCCCGGTAGCCGAACCTCGAGAGGAAGAGAAGGTGACGACACACCGACACCCTCCCTGAGAGCAAGGCGCCTCGACTTGTTCGAGCCGGGCGTTTTCGCCCAGCTTCGGCCCCGGGACACTCGCAAATAGCGCCGAAAGATGGGGTCCAGGGCTCCAGCCGTGATGGCTCATTATGTTGCAGTGTTCTCGCCACGTCGGATCTCAGTACTACCGCTACCCTCGCCCCGCTTCCGCCTCCGGGCCTCCAGAGAAGGCCCTCGCCGCCACAGCCGGATTCGCCTCGAAACCCTGATCGAAGCTCACCTCGAGAGGGCTCCGGGGAGCAGCGGCATCGGCACCCAGACATGCGGTGCCATGGTTTTCCCCACACGCGGTCCCCGCCAGTGCGACCTGGACCTGGGCAGCGTTTCAGCATGTTGGGGTCGCCCTGCCTTCCAGCCTGGCATCGCTCGGACGTGTGCCTGTATCGGCGAGGGTCATTGACGAGCATCCTTGATCATTGGGCGAAAAAACCACGCACGAAACCGAACAAAAACACGGGGAATGGACGTCCGAGCGATGGCCAGCCAGGTTTTCGTCCTGGATCCGTGGTGGATGGCCCCCCGGGGCCCGAGGGCGGGCCCGATAGAGGCCAAAGCCGAAGCCCCCCCAAAAAAGCCCTGCCTGAAAACCACATGTCAGCGGCGTGTCGACATTGTCAGGGGGACGTAAGACCTGGGTACAGGGGACTCGGAAATCCCCGACGAGGTCGTCAAAAAAATGACGAGGCCGAGCCTGCATTTTGACGAGGCCTCCCGCTGCAGACATCCCACGAAACTCCCCCTCGTCAAAATCCTAGGCGCGGTCGTCAAAAAGCGATGGCGAACCCGAGTCCCGGCAAACCCGGGTCTTACGCTCCCCCGACATTGGGCGGCAGAGGGGCTGGGGTCTGGCTCCCGACCTCTGCTCCATGCGACGGTTTGCAGCAGTGCGCCCTCTATATGCGGGAGACGCCACCTGCTCGAAACAGGCGCTGACAGAAACAGCCAAGATCCGCGCCAGGGGGGGGGAGGGGGTACGAGGGCCCGCGCCGATCGGCAAACGATTGATGAATAAAAAAACGACCACCATCTAATCTGAGCTGCCTGGGCCCCTTGGCTTCCCCGGGACCGGCTGCCCCTGGGCCCGGCCAGCATCTCCAGCAGCGGCGTCGCGCGCGGTCTCGGCCTGTCCTCCTCCGCCCTCCTCGCGCCAGCGGGGGCCGCGGAGGCGGCGAGGCCCGCCATCGGCGCGGCGAGCTCGGCCGTGCCCTCCTCGGCGTCGGCCGCCGCGGCAGCGCCCTCGCGGCCCCGCCGCCGCCCCGCGGCCTGCGCGAGCGCGCACCAGCACGCCGCCGCGGCGCACGCGCACCAGCACGCCGCGCGGAGCAGCGCCGCGAGACCCGCCTCTTTCCACCGCCGGAAGGGTGCCCACGCCCCAGGAGGCCCCCCAAGCAGCAGCAAAAAAAAAAGATCTGGTGTGCTTGGCAGATGTGGGCGCCCTCGCCCTCTCGGCTCCCCGACGCTCCCTGGCGGCCCCGGAGGCCCCCAAGATCGCCCCTCTAGACGGCCCAAAAGAGGCCTCCGAGATGGCTCCAGAACGGCCCAAGATGTGGCCCCGCTCCCCGAGCCCCTGGGACACGGCCTTGCGGCAGTGGATTGCGCGGGGAAACCAAAAGGTACCGATGCCGCTACTCCCCAGACCTCTCTTGGGGTGCGCTCTGACCAGGACTTCGAGGAGAATCCAGCGGTGGCGAGGAGGGCCTCCGAGGAGGCCCAACAGAGGGGGAAAACGAGCACAGGGCAGAGGAGAGGCATGGGCACCGCTCCTTCCTCCGACTGTGCACGTGCTCTGGCGGCGCAGCCTCCTCCGCCCCGCCGGCGCGCAGGGCCAGCTGCAGCCGCCTGGCCGCCGGCAGGCCCACCTGGCGCACCAGCCAGCGCCGCAGGTGGTGCGCCTGGCCGCCCTCCAGGGCGCCGCCGCGCCGCGGCCCGAGCGGGGCCTGCACGGAGGCGCCGCGCACGCCCGCGGCTGCCGCCACCATGCCATCGACCGCCGCCCGCGCCGCTCGGCGGCGCCGGCCTGAGCCAGAGGACGCCTCTGCGCGGAGCCTCGCGGGCTTGTGCGCCTCGGTGCTGCCAGGGCCGCGAGGAGAGAGGGGCGGCGCCGCGCGGCGCGAGCTGGACGAGCCGCGCCCCCGCTCTCTCGCGCAGAAATTGTCTCGCGGCGTGGCGGCGCCCGAAAGGCCCCCGGAAAATCCAGTGTCCACGCCGAGGTCAGCGGCTGCAGACGCAGAACTATGACCCCGTGGGCCGCGTCTCGCGCCTCGAACAGCATCAGAGACTTGCGTCTGGTTCCGAGGGAGGCGAAGGCGAAGGCGAGCGCGCGCTTCCGCCGGGGGCGAGGCCCTTTTGGGGCCTGCGCGGGGGGGCTGGGGCCCTCAATGTGAACGTTTTTTAATTCAGCGTTTCGACAGCGGAAGGGGGGGGGTGGGGGAAGGGGGGGGAAGGGGGGGGTCTGGCTCCGGACCACTGCTTAGCGCGACCGTTTGTAACAGTGCGTCCTATGGGGGAGGGACTCCACCTGCTCGAAACAGGCGCCCAAAACAGCCAAGATCCGCTCCAGGGGGGGGGGAGGGGGGGATGCGAAGGCCTGCGCCGATCGGCGTAACAATGAATAAAAAAACGACCACATGCATGTTGTCCTTGTTTGCCGAGGAAAGGGTGCTGAGTTCTGATCTGGTGGACGCCAGAAGTCGATAGGTGCAGATGGAAGTGGAGAGTCGTAAGCCAGAGGCTGAGTAGAGGTCAAAAATCCCCCCCAGAATAGCCACCCCGACAGCGAAGGCGTTCAGCAAGCGCGCCCAGAGAAGGAACCGAACAGGACAGGACTGTTTAGTATAAACGCCCAGGGCCGGTGAGTAAACGCCGATTCTCCGGTCCGGGTGGTTTTTCCTTCTCCGGGTCCTCCGCCCCTGGCAGCTCCAGCTGGCCGCAACAGGCCCCGCGCGTGGGCCGGGGCGGCCTCAGCGCCCAGACCCGACGCCAGGAGGCGGCGCCAGGGAGGAGGAGGAGGAGGAGGAGGAGGAGGAGGAGGAGGAGGAGGAGGAGGAGGAGGAGGATGAGGCGGAGCAGGGCAGGAGGAGGATATGAGAAGGAGGAGGAGAAAAAGGAGTAGTAGAAAAAGAAGGAGGAGGACCAGGAGTCCGGAGGAGGATTTATGAGGAGGACGGAGATGAGAGATGCTGATGAGGATGAGGAATAGGATGAGGATTAAGGATTGTATGAGGATGAAAAGTGCTCTGAGGATGATTATGAGGATGATGATGAGGATGAGGATACAGAAGTAGATGGGGGGAGATGGTGGAGGCGGAAGGAGGAGGAGGAGTAGGAGGAGGAGGAGGAGGAGTGCCAGGTTGGATGCCGGGTGAACTTCGAGGAGGGCCGTGCGGACCCCCTGCGGGCCGTCTGTCCGCCTCTTCCTGCTCACGCCGCGACGGCGGGAGAGGCGCGGCGCACCGCGGCGCGGGGCCCCGCCGACGAGCCGCGCTCCCGCTCTCCCACGCGCCTGCTCGGCTCCTCGTC